CTAAAGGTATTGTAAACCATTTTAAGTATAATACAGTAATCCGGAGGCTAAACAATTCTTTGATTATGGAAATTAAGTAAACTGTGTTATGTAGTTTGCTTGTTTGTGGATATATTTTAATCAAATTTGGCAAATTTATTTATTTTATCTTAAATTATTAACATTTGGTGGAAAAACACTTTTCACCCACCCCATTGCAGCAAACCCCGATTTGTTACTCGTTAAATCAAATGTTATTTAAATGTGAAATAAATATGTATTGTTTATAATAATAAAGTTTATGATAATAAAATTGTTTATAATAATAAATATTGTAGTATGAATCCAATTAGACCGATTGAAATTCACTTAGTCTTCAGGTTTGCTGCGGTGGGGGCAGTGTTGGGGAAGCTACTTTTAAAATGTAGCTAGCTACAACTATACTGCTACATTTCCAAAAAAGTAGCTTAGCTACAGTTCCGAAAAAGTAGCAAGCTACAACTACAGGTAAAATTTTAGCTACTTTTCCTAAGGCGTTACTTTTATTCCACGCACATTATGTAAATGTAAATTAATTGCAACTACATAAACATTACTACAACACAACCAAAATAAGTTAGTTGGGTGTTTTATCATACTTGGTACTTATTTTTAATTTAAATATTGCATTATTTTTAAGCATCTTATATGTAAATTTCATTAGGTTCAACATACAACCAAACTATATTTTCAAAGCCCATTTTATTTCTTTAATGCACATTCATTTGTAGATGTCTTTTATCAACTATTAAAAACAATAAAACTGTAAAACGTTTATTAAAAAATACTTTTTTGTGTTACAGATCCTAGCCTACTGAAATTGGAGTTTATTGCCTTTCTTTATTTTTAATGTTAAAAACCGACATTGCTATAACTTTTAACCATAGTGATATGTTACTTGTTCTATGAATAACACTTTTCAATGTCAAGAAATCGTCCTTTGTCACTATGCATAGGTCAAATTGTGCTTTAACAAACGTTAGTACAGAAAACAGTATTCAGCAACTCATCCTGAAATCGGCTTTTTAATTGTAAAGTAAAAATAGCATTTAGGCCTACGTGGCTTAATTGTAACAAGTTGGCTATAGTAGGCTTGTTCTTACGACGACTAAACAGATATATTCCTATTAACTGAACTTGATATTCGTATTAACCCAATAGCATTGCCTAGGAATAGTCCTTGACAAGAGCTGTTATCAGGAGCAAACTATGCTATTTTTTCAATTTAAGTTGTATGGAGATTTTTTCGTAACAATTATTATGTAGTCTAGGCATATCTTAAATCTCATCAGGTAATTTCCTCTTCCTTAATTTGGTAAACCTTTGAAAAATCTTCGTCATGCAACCAAGGAATGGATTGTGATCATGAACCACAATCAACAGCTGAAGCAAAGGATGATAGAGCTTTCTCGATCCATTAAAACCCAAGTTGAAACTATCGATTAATAAAGAAACTAATTTGATAACTATATAATTTCCCTGTCAATCACTTGCAAGCATTCAAATGCTTCTCTTGTCAGCGGTAACGTTTAAACGTTGTCTGCATTTAGCGATTTTATTTTATCTGACAGTAATCATAGAGTAGTAAATGAAGGAGATGAGACCTCCATGTCCATGCAACGTTGTAATAGGTAATGAAACGGCTGCGACCAGCTGTATAAAGCCAAGAAAGTAGGCCTAATTTTCTTGAAAATCTCAGTTTGAAAGAGGTTGTTTCACGTAAGGTTGTGATAAAAATCACTATCTCTATCAATGTTAATGTAGCGAGAAAAGTAGCAAAAATTCCCCTACAACTACTTAAAAAATGTAGCTAGCTACAAAGCTACAAAATCTTAAAAGTAGTGTAGCTACAGCTAACGCAAAAAAAAGTAGTGCGAAAGCTACAAAATCTTAAAAGTAGCGTAGCTACAGCTAACGCTAAAAAATGATTTCCACCAAGAGATGGCTGCTACTTATTTTTCTTATAAATCAAGGCGGCCAACCAAGTAATGTGCGATACTACTTAAATAATAAGTAGAGAGTACTGTTTGCAATAAGGACTGTTAAGCATACACAAATATTATACAATTCACTCTATCTGCATCCTGTGCTGCAGGAGGTATACCTTATTGACGCTTACACTCCCAGTGGTTGTTGATCATAAAATGGCAATGTTTCAGTTGAGTTTAAAATGCCTGATTTGAGGCGCAACTCACAAAGAACCCATCCAATCAACCTGAGCAGTCAGGGGCTCTCACACCAGGCCTGACCATAACAAACTACCATTTCAACAATAATAAAGATCTGGTTTAATCTATGTTATCAATTAAATTAAAAATATATAGAAAAAGGGTAGATAGTTAGTTACAAAAGAAAAAACCACCAAAATATCTTTATTTACTTTTTTTTAGGACGGACTGGTTATACATGATACACAACTAAAACGTGCTTGACATTTTACTAAAAATTTGCTATATCACAATTATATATTTAATTACTTAATATTGTCTGGTGAGTGTTTTTGTGCTTTAGACTATCACAGTACTAATTATAACTGTGCCATAAAATGTCTTAACTGATGAGATCAATGTTTAATAAACAACAGTCTTATCCAGCTGTATTCATATTCTAATAGGCCACTACAAAGGATGGATTGAAGCAAATTAACTGACTACCTGCCTAAAATACATATAGTGAAGTTAGCGTGAAAGACATATAAATTAATAATAAATTGTTGAGATCCCAAATACAGTGTGTATTTTTAATTCAATGTTATAATGTGAAACACATGAGGATAATTAGAACAGTTTAAGTATCAAGTATAGTAGAGTAGAGCAAAATTTATCTGAACTCCAAATATCCGAATCACCAATTATTCGAACTGCTTACAGAAAGAATTTTAAAATCTACAGTAATAATAATCATTATTAATAATTAAAGAGAAGCCATGATTGCGGAAAAATCCTGAACATCTCCCGTGGTCACAAAAATCTTCATCGCCCTCTGCAATTTCAGCAATAGCGTGAATTTTTCAATTGTGAAATCTTCGCATACAGGTTCTGCGATCGCAATAGTTAAAGCTCGGCTGGACTTGACTTACTTTCTATAATATACTCCGCAATTCGGCAAAAATCACACTATCCGAAAGTGGTTCGGTCCCTATTGATTCAGATAGTTGAAGTTCTACTGATAGCAAAAGTTTTAGATAAAACCATTAAAACGTAATAAAGCTCAAAGCACAAAAAAATTTCTTATCATTTTTAAAATTAGTTTTAGAGTGTTTTTTTGGAACAAGAATGAGGAATGAATTTCATAACAACATGGATATTTAGAATATCTTAGTCAGTGATGCCTGAACCACTGTCCACATCACAGATGCAGCATTGTCATTGGCTGTTTGTAATTGAAAAATACCATTTTACTTTAGTTATTCATTCATTACAGGACGAGGTCAGCCAGACTAGTCTCTGCATCTTATTTCAGTTGCCATTTTAATGAATAGATAGAGACCCCATAGCAGTAAAATTTAAAATACCCAACTAAAAGATTTCACAACAGCTGTGCTGTGACCATTAGTTTTTGTACAACTGCCTATTCTACTAAATTTAAGAACTTGTTACATGAAAACAGCAATCTCATTGACAGCCTGAATCTGTTTTCTCTTGGTACTTGAAAACTACTCATAAAAATGGAAAGTATAGTTTGCCTGTATGTGTATTGTTTAAATTCTATCGATGACAACAAACATTACAAATATTTGTCTTTTTATTCAACTAAAATTATTTTTCCCCCTTGATACGGTAAAACTCCTTATTTTCTGCATTATAGTTCAATTTGGCTGCTATTCAAATTTCCGTCACACTTCACGGTAAGCAGTTGCTTTTTATACTCTTATGGACCCGAAAGTCGTTTACAGTAAAAGGAACAGTTGAAGTCAGCTGGAATAGGGCCACGAGTAAAGTCAGCTAGAGTGCAATAGATTTACCAGTCAGTTTTGTAATAAAATTACAAGAATGCTACAGGCTACAGGGTGTCGATGAAGCTAACTACCTCTCCCCGGCACATAATAGGCTCACCCACTGCAAGAATGCTAATATTCCATTAGTTTGAATGAGAATCACTCCAATTGAGGACTGCCATTGTAAAGATTACTGTGATCATTTACCAATTATTCCATTATCACAGAATGCATTACAGTACAATAGACAATGTTGTGAGATCCCACATGAAATAATTGATAAGTCAAGAGAGTTAAGCTCAAATCTGCTGCATGATACATCTAAAAACAAGTATGAGTATTCTATGTTTTCAAAGTGGTGAAATAAGAAATTATTATTAGGTTAAACAATTATCAGTGTTTAAAATGTCTGTATGAGTTGTATTTTACTTATCTTGTATATTTATTGCTGGTAGCGAGGCAAAAAATATAACTTTTACTGTATTTATGTCAACTATGGTAAAATAAATATACTTTTGAACACAAATAATGCAACATTTAAAAGTTTTAAGAGTATATTGTTCTACACATACTGTATTATTTTAAATAAATGTCATTCAAGAAATTAATATGGTCTTTTAATATGCTTTTGAATAGTATGACCTTTTTATTGTTCAGACCATGGTCTCGGTCACGTATGTGATAGATTAGCAGGTTTGTACTGTAATTATAATTTTTTTAAATTGTGTCTTTCTACGCCAGTGGCATTTATTTCACGTTCAGTATAAGGGTACAGTCCAAACCCTGGTCTAGTTACTATCCAACCTAGACCTGTAATTAGACAACATCATTAATTGATAGCCCAATGACAAATGGCATCTGGATTTGGCAACAATCTCACTTGGAATCAAACCAGCGACCTTCAGATATGAAGGGAGTTCAGTAGCCATTCGATTAACTTACCCAGATAATTTATATATATATATATATATCTACATATAAATATAGAGTACAAACGGCAGCATATGATGGTCAAAAATCAAAAATATAGGATTCATAAGCATCATTAAGTTAAGTCTATAAAAGCAGACTGGACTTTAATATAAAATAATTACAAAACCAAGCTAAATGTAGTTGACTAGAAAACATAATATAACAATAATTTATCTTTGGTATAAAAAATTTGTAAAGAAATAGAAATAGTATTACCTATATCTGTTTTGTGAATCAAATAGGCCTACTAGTCGTCATGTTTCTCACAATTTACCCAAGAGAAGGCACTAATTTTCTCTTCAGATTCGTCGGTAGTAGATAATTTATTCAGGCACTTCAGGTATCGTTTTATTTCTTTTTCCCTACATTCCGTATCACCCATTCCATTCCATCCTGCAACGAATAAAAATGGTTAATCACAAGTTCTAGAAATAGGATGAAGAATATTTTTTAAACTATGGTCATAGAAAAAGAAGACCTATAGGAAATTTTCTCAGACTGGTAGCATACGTATCCCAGCCACGGTTACGTTTGGCCAGCTTTAGTGCTTTGATAAAATGTTGGCCTACACAGAGTAGGTAGGCTACACTTAGAACATTGATAACTAAAGTAAACTGCCTGACCAGTTATGAGGGTGAAGAAAGTGCATGCTGTTTTCATGTGAAGATTCCAGTAATTTCAATTGTGAAAACCCATCACCAAGCTAGACACCTTAACCGCTACTACAAATAGTTATTAAACATTTCTCACAACTGCAGCTACCTGGACTGGTGCAGTCCCAATAGTCCAGATTACAGAAAATGCAGCCAATTAATATCTTTTCAGCATGAGCGTCCATCTGGCTTTTACATAGGAGTTAACTCAGTAAAAATAGTGGTCCTAGTTGGGGTACTTCTGGGAAATAATTAAAGTTTAGATCAAAACGTTTGATTCTAATTTTACGCTTTTTTAAATTTGCTTTGTCAATGGATATTAGTTGCATTGTTGTTAAAATTTTAATACTTACTACTGTGTCCAGAGGCATAGTGAGGACTGTTTCTTATAGGTTATCTGTTATTTTGGGCAGAACGACTAGACAAAATTCACTGATTTTTTCATTCCTAGTCCCCAAGGTACGTTTTACTTGGGGTCTGCGGATAATCCATATTTTCAGGTATGCACGGTTAAAACAAGTGATTCGTACGGATAGAAAACGATTATCGAGCCAAGCTTGGATCGAGTCGAGCCGAGCACAAATTTCTGCTACTGCGGAAAGCGTATACAAAAGATGCGCGATCGAAAAATTGATGATTTTACCGTGATTGTGAGAGACGTTATCAATTATCAATTATCAATTATTTAAGATGAGGACGCCACTATGTGCATATTTTAATTGTTGTCCCATGACTGGGGAAGATGCCCAAGATTATTTCTTAACCTTGGAAGATGTGCATGATTTTGCTAAGACAAGGAATGATGTTCTTGTGACCACGGTAGACGTTGATTTCACCGTGACTACTGAAGATGCTCTTAATTTTGCCGTGACTGCAAATTTTATTTTTTATTTTTATGCAACCGCGGAAGATGTTTCGGGTTTCGCCGAAATCACGGACTATGTTCATGATTTGGCTGTGACGGCAAAAAATTTTCTTAATCATTATAATTTGAGATGGGGACGCCACCTATATGTCTATATAAGCCCAAATATGAGTGAAAGATGAGGTGTGGCCATATAGAAGATCTCACTTGTATCTTTGTTAATGACTAAGACCAGCTGTTCCTGACAAAGATAGCTGAGTCCAGTTTTGATCTTGCTGTGACCGCAGAAGATGCTCTTGATTTTGCCTTGACCTCAGAAGGGGTTTAACACTTTTGCTGTGACTTCAGATTAAAAAATCCTGCATAGTTCTCGATTCAACAAATTTACACAAACTTCCCGGAATTCTCAGCCCCTTGGTTCCCCATTTTGATGGACACCCGTGCTTGTCAGCCATCAAACTGAACTACAGATAAGAATGATACAATATCTTAAAACCAAGATAGAATACCTTGACTCCTTCTCCAGCTGTAGCACTACAAGCTTGTATCTGCCAGGGTCGGTCCTTTATCATGTGCAGAGCCAGACCTTGAGCAATGTCTGAGGCAGAGGCTGCATGTAACAAATCTTGTTTGTTGGCATAGACCAACAATGGAACTCCGACCAACTTTTCATCCATCAACAATTCTGAAAGTTCATAACCAGTTTCGTCCAAGCGTTTGCGGTCAGAACTATCAATCACATAAATCTAAAAAAAAGAGTTAAAATCATTATTATAACATTACAAAAAAACTAGCCTATTTATTTACTGTATATCAAATACATTTCCAATAACTCCTTTCTAAACTACAGTCTATAAAACTGATTTTCTGATAGCAGGAAGGACTATGCTAAGGAGGTAACAAGAGGCAAGATGTGAGTACAATATCTGAGCCATTGACGTCTTTACCAATCATGCCAAATTTCATGGAACCATCACTAAAATGTACAAAAAGCTTAAATTAATTTATTTAATAATATGTGTTCATATCCATTGATGGGGAGTTTGCCCTGCACAATCTATATAATTAATACGCTAACACAAAATTTGTTCTTTGAACTCCGCTATTTCTAAACACGTTCACTACTGCAATAGTACCAAATTTTCCATTCACATAGACCAGTGACGCAAATATGCGACAGCCGGTTTCTACCCACAGACTGCCCTCGCGATGACTAGACACATTAAAATAGATTGACAACAAATATTTGCGTCGGTGTTCCAATGTTATCAAAAGGCGTATATCTTTGTAACGGTCGATTTGAAGGCACTGAATTCTCTGCAGTGGTCAACAGGGATGTCTGACGCACAACTGTGTCGCTTGGTCTGTGGATATGATTATAAATTACGTCATATGATAGTTGGAAAAACTGGTCTTTACTTTTCTACATCACTGTATGTATGTATGCTGTATGTATGCTGCATTATCATATGTAGCTTTTATATTTGTTCAATTATAAACTGTTCTTGAATAATCTGTTTTTTTACTTACTTTCACCTCAAAACATATACAAAAATGAACTGTCGCATATATGCGGGGTTTGGGCTATTTCAAGAAAAGTATAATAATTTTCACTATTGTCTTCGCTATAAACCGGGCGTCGCAAATATGCGACACTATAAAAGGTTATCAATAATATAAAAAAAAGAATATATTATTTACATACACAATTGCAGCGTATTAAAATGTAAATTATCCCTGTTTAACAGGTTTTTGCCCGTGGCCTGAGTGTACTGTTAACCAAGTGACAGCAGGTCTAAGTGTTATGATCGTGGCGTCGAATATAGGCCTATTTAGGCATATAGGACATATAGACAGCCAGCTCAGCCTAATTCCCCTTATTCACTATCTTTGTTTCGTCCCCATGCGGGAAGAATGAGCGTATACCTAGTTGTATGTTCATTGCTTCGCAACTTTAACCTAGAATTTTTTTTTTCTTTTTACAAACATGTTTATTCTTCTAAAAAATAATCCCAAAACAGACTTGACGATTTGAACTTGCATATATAGATTAGATATATTATTATTAGGTATAGGCCCTAAATTGTAATTTTCATATGAGGTTGGTTTATCCGGCCGAATTGTTATCCGGCCAGGGGCTTGGTCCCGTGGTGGCCGGATAAGAAGGGTTGACACTCGAGATCGATATAATTACCAACTTATTGTTGGTTGTAATATTTTTTCATTTTTTAGGGACAGGAATTATTAGGATCCAAAGTGATTGTGGAAGCCCCCTTTTAAGCTCGTACAATATGAAATTCAAAATTTCATTAAGATTGTGGGAGATTCTGAAATCAGAAAATCATATCACTGGCATCAGCAGTTGTAGGAATCAAGAACCAGAATAATGTTTCTATATTTCTAAGGTTTAATAGCAAAATTCACAGCTCAAACACAGTTTTAAGGTTTTATGGTTAAGTGGTACCTACCATGTCCATGTACTTATACTTAGGTTGAAGGGCTTGAGATAGAAACTGAAACTATCCACTACAAAAACTCTAGTACACTTATTTATTTTGACAATGGTGTAACTTAACTTATTAACATAAATTGTTTACCCCACTTAGGCCTACTTAGTTAAGGTGCTGAAATATTACCTACACAATTAACTTACCAGAACATCTGTATTTTCAAAGTAATTTCTCCAGTAAGGTCTGATTTTTCGCTGCCCACCAATGTCCCAAACATTAAGTTTGAATCCATCAGATTGAACAGATTTTATGTTGAAGCCTTGAGTCGGTGTTATATGAGTCACATCTTCAGAAGCAAGTTTTTTCAGAAGAGTTGTTTTTCCAGCATTGTCCAAACCAAGAAGTAAAATCCTTAATTCTTTGTCTGGAGAAGATTTAAGTTTTCTTAAAATTGATAGCAACCCCTATAACAAAACATAATGTAAGACAAATAAAATAATTTATTTGGCTATTCAATACAGAAAATGTGATGTGGAAAGCAAATAGGGACCTCTTGTCGGAAATTTTCAATTTTGAGTTATATATATATTTGCATTCTTTATTAAATTCCGAATCAATTGGTGAAAATTCCACGCATGTATGATTTTTTTTTTTTTAAAGTTATAGAACTTTGAAATTTTGTTATAGAAAAGGGTCATTTTGAGAAAAACTGATTTGAAAATTACAAATATGCATAAAAACGGTGTTTTTCGTATTTAAGAAACGATTTTGGTATCAAAGGAAAGCTTATAATGTCCTTTTTGGAAGCAACACAAATTTTTGTCTTAACTCACGGTACTTTTCATTAAAATAATTGTTTTATTGAAGCATGTTGTAAAAATCGCTTTTCAGAAAAGGGACCTCTTGTCGGGACCACAAGATTTGTGTGATATTTTGTTCTCCGTGAACTGAACTTTGTTGTTGTTCTCTAAATTTCCACTAGAATGCAGGACAATTCATTTTTTGTCCTAGATCATTTAGGCCTACTATGTTAACTTTTTAAGTGTTTTCTAGGCTTAGACTACTAAGTTATTCTCTTCAAAGTAAAAATTCATACCAGTACAGAAAAGATATGTACAAAAAATATACAAAAGATAATTTTGAGTGATTGAGCGGAGCGAAGCGAAGCTCTTTGGGATCAACTTCAATGCAATCTTTATAACACTTAATCTCAATAACGGCTGAACATATTTTAGCCAAGCTTACCAAGGTTGTTTTGTCAAATGTTTGGATGGTTTAGACGTAACCAATTTCAATTTTTGATAGTGCCTATAATCATAGAAAACATATTACTATAACCCAGAATGCCAACCGCGTGGTAAAAAGCATTAAGTGTTTTGAGAGAGCTTTGCCTGTCAATCGTAGGCAGCGCCACCAGCGTTGCCATGCACTCAGCATAGCAACGCTGGTGGCGCTGACTACGATTGACAGGCAAAGCTCTCTCAAAACACTTAATGCTTTTTACCATGCGGTTGGCATTCTGGGTTATAGTATTATGTTTTCTGTGCTATAATTTTTAAGTAACTAAAAGTTTTTAATTTTTAACATTGGTCTTATGGGTTGCCATGATGGTTACAAAATAACCAGGTAAATGTAAACAAAACAAAGAATCACAGCATATGTTAAAATCAAGCCACGACCTAAACACAGTACAAAGGAAAAAAATGCTGATGATGACAACTGATCAAATCATACAGAGAAAGTCTTAGGTTTACATTTAAGTCGCGATTTGGAAACGACCACTGATCGAATAGGTACAGACATGGATAAAACATACTTTCTTAGCTAAAGTATTTATCAGATTTTATTTACGTAGCTAAATGAGGTTATAAATAATAAACAACATTATATCTTCAATTTGTCGGTGAATCACATTCTAATGGATCCATCTCATAAATGGCAAACTTAAACAGGTCCACGACGTAGGAAGTGGTGAAGGAAGTAGTAAAGGCAAGAAGTGCGGAGTGTGGGAAACAATTGTGGCAGTTATATTAATGTATCTGCAATCCTAAAATGCTATGGGAAGGGAGGGAAACAGGTCCATGATGTAGGAAGTGGTGAAAGAAGTAGTAAAGGCTAGCAATGCAGAGTGTGGGAACCCTCTGGGGCAGTTAGATTATTGTATCTCAAATATTAAAATTCTATGGGAAGGGAGGGAAACAGGTCCACGACGTAGGCAGTGGTAAAGGAAGTCTTAAAGGCTAGCAGTGCGAGTGCGGAGTGTGGGAATGCTTTGGGGCAGTTAGATTAACGTAAAATACTAAAATGCTATGGGAAGGAAGGTAAACAGGCCCACGACGTAGGAAGTGGTGAAGGAAGTAGTAAAGGCCAGCAGTGTGGTATGTTGGAACCGTCTGTGGCAGTTAGGCCAGGCGCACACAGGCGATTTTGAGTCTAGCAACAGTTGCCCTACTAAAATGTTCACCATTGTTTTAAATTGGAGTGCGCATACAAAGGAAACAGTCTAGGGACAGTCGCGCAACTATTGCAACTGATGTTACCGGACCCAATTTGTCAGAGACAGCTCTGCGACTCAATTGTCGCGGGACTGTCGTTCCAGGTTTGGTATCCATTGAAACAAATGTAGACGCGCACACATGCGACTAAATTGTCGCTCAGTCTCACCCCAGGAATTCAGCTACTCGTGGCCAGAACTGTCACTAGTGTTTGGTCTCTTTTTGTTGTGTGAAGTTTTTAGAAAATTACTTAAATATGAGTGTCCGTGATGAGGATGTCAAACAATTATTTTATGAATTTGAGAAGAGGCCACCTTTATATTTTAAGTCATTGAAAGACTATTCGGATATTAATTTGAAAAAGAAGTTGTGGGATGAAGTGTCCTTAGCAGTTACTAAAGATTGGAACAACCTAACATAAGAGGATAAAATCAAAGATCACAATTTCAACAACAAAGCACAGACCCTCCAGTCATGCCCCGATATCCCCATTGTCGTCTGGCGACGATTATTTTACTAGCATAGCAGATGAAATAATCCCCAACTTACCTCTGTTGCAGAAAACTACAATTAAAGACCTTGCTGATCTAACCCCCACTAACTTTTTTAACTGGACTTAAGGTGAGTGAGTCTGACAATATAAAATTAGTCTCTAGTTTTAAAGATTCTCATAGTCCAGGACATAGGTAATGGAATCTCAACCCACGGCCTAAAGTCAGTAATGAAGCAGATAGGCCTAGCTAAACCTCTTGCCTTTTTAGTAAATAACTGCTTATCTGAAGGAGTTTTCCCGGACAATCTGAAAATAGCTCAAACCCCCCCCCCCTATCTTCAAAAAAGGCGATCCAGCGCAACCCGCAAACTTCAGACTGATTTCTATCCTCCCTGTTTCCTCCAAAGTTTTTGAGGCGGTCATGAAGCAACAACTGGTGAACTTTTTTGAAAAGAATAACCTTTTTAGTGACTCACAACATGGATTTAGGACCTGGTGTTCCGCTACCTCCACCCTTCTCAGCCTTATTAAGGACATCTCTGCGGCCTTTGAAGCTAACGACTCCGTACATCTCAGCCTTTGCGACCTCAGCAAGGCTTTTGACGTAGTCTCCCATGACTTACTCCTAGTCAAGCTATCCAAGTATGGCATCGCTGGAACGGCCCATAGAACCTTAACTGATTACCTTCACAACAGGAGACAACTTGTGTCACTACAAGGAGCCTCCTCTCAAATCAAAGAGCTACACAATGGTGTGCCCCAAGGATCTGTGCTAGGACCCATCCTGTTTGTCGTCACGATGAATGACCTATCTTTCAACAGGCGCACACTTCTCTTTGCTGACGACACTACATTGTTTACGAGGCACAGAAACCAAAATGATCTGAAGGCTGAAGGCATCCTACTTGCTTGATGAGACCAAGGAGTGATTTGCAAGATACCGGCTCAAACTAAATGTTGAGAAAATTCAAGCCATCACCTGCACTCTCAAGAAAGGTACTGACGATGAGGCAGTCAAACTACTTGGCTTTTGGATTGATTCAAAAATCAATTGGAGTCAGCATATTGAGAAGGTATGCGCTAGATTAAGCAGGATTCTATACCTCGTACGAAAACTAAAACCAGATCACTCGTCCCTATCTGATATTGGTCAACCACTCTTTCTTCCATAGCCATAAAAACTATGGTCTGGTGGTGTGGGGGCATAGCCTTGCCACCCAAAGTCTGCTGCTACTTCAAAAGAACATACGAATAATGGATGTGTACTGGTGTGGTTTAAGTTATGTATAGGATGTACGAATAATAACATCGTCGATTACCATTGTCGGCCAATTTTCAAGGAGCTTGCTATCCTGACCATACATAGCCAATATGTGCTTAACATCCTAGCCCTCCTGAAAGAAAATGGGCTGCACTTTACTTTAGGTCCTACACAAACAACCAAATGAAAATATCTACTATTCGATTGTTTCATTCGATGTATCGTTTGGTTAGTTAGGTTAGATTAACCTTACCTAACTAACCAAACTACTATACTTTATTTTTTTACTTTATTTATTGGTCTATACTTTATTTTAATATTGATACTTTATTTTTTTACTTTATTTATTGGTCTATACTTTATTTTAATATTGATTATGTAACAGCTGTTGCTTGTTTTGTTAAAAGTGTTTGGTTTTTGACTATGTTACGATTTCACCCACTTCTTCATTTGTTTGCAAAGTAAAAACTTTATCAAAATATTCATATACTGTAGTGGTGATATTATTTCATACAGATTAAACATCGCTAGGCCTATACATGTTTTCCAGGTTAGGCTTGTCTTTATTTTAGTTCAGCTAAATACAAATTACTTGTACATAGCTTTATGAAATTAAGTCAAATGAAACTCCTTTATTGTGGTAAACATAGGACCTCTTAGTTATCTAACTTACAGTCTTCGCTGGGCCCGAGCCCAGGGACCCAAGAGGTTTTAGGTTTGTTGGGGGCACAAGGAAGAGAGAAATTCTCTCACATGTTAATAATGTTCAATGAAATGGCGACCATACAAAGTAGGTATTTTAAGCCAAGTATGAATGGAGATGAGTGTAGGATGAGTGGCCCAATCTTGTAGTCTTGTTAGTGACTAAGGCTGACATTCCTTAGACACAGCTGTTAATTAATAGCCCATACAGCTAATGGCAACTAAGGGACCTACAGTTTTTAGTGGAATCCGAACCACATTCTTGCCTTGGTATATAGGTACGAATTGGTCTAATTATCAGGATATTACTGTGGATCGATATTTTCATTCGAATGAGTGTAGGACCTAAAGTAAAGTGCAGCCAGAAAATGAATCATCCTTTATAACTAGAAGCGTGCAGCACGATTACGGGACACGCAGAGCATGTTATCTTGACCGACTCATCTTTGACCGCTGCCGACTCAGTCACACTCTGAACTCCTACCCATCGCTTGCTATTCGGCTTTTTAATACGCTGCTGAAAGGAGTTCGTGCTCTAGACAAAAAGCGATTTAAGTCAACGCTACGCCAGAGTTTGCTTAGTCGACCATTATACTCCTGGCAAGAAATGTTTTTAATATTTTTAATGTAAATAAGACGCAATCAATCCAACTTTGTTGGTCAAAGGTGAAAACCAAGTATCAAGTAAGTAAGCAAGTACATATTGCAGTGGATCTGCCCTTACTTGTGTGAATAGGCCTAGACCCATGTAAGTAATGATACTTACTTACTTACTCGTCTCAGTAAGTAAGTATTATTACTTACATAGGCCTAACATGTAAGTAATGTATGGAAATTCGATGATGCTATACATTGTATGCTATGCATTATGATGTAAGTTATGCTCTTGCTATACATAGTCAAACGTTCTGGCAATAAACGAGGTAATTTGATCATATGCTAAACTTGTTAGCCTATTTTACACACAAAGCATTTATGTCAGCTTTTGGTAGGTACATCTGTCTTAACGTAAAAGCTGTTACGACAAAAAAGTTATTTCAATGCCTAGGGCTACATAATAGGGCCCAACTTATCCCTAACCAACTTAACTTACCATTATCAATGTTCTTCTGTGATTCACTTCACTGTGATCGTACCATAAGAGAAGGATATGCAAGTATGGTTAGACACAACAATATTTTAGATACATAAACTATAACTGAAATTAAATAAAGTAATAAACTGTAAATACAAATACAAAATTAACAGAACTCAGTTCTCAGTTCCAGTTGTCGTTGATTGTTGGTTCGTCGTCGGTTGTCGGCTTGTCTTTATAGTTAGTTGTTTCGTCTGTCGTCTGTATCCTATCAATCAAACAGCTGTCAGCTCCAGCTGTCTAGTCTGTCTATCTAACCATTGACTATAAACACTACTAGATTGAAAACCCCATGCATTTTTGGTTGTGAACAAGCAATCAGCACACTCTGGCGGGAAGGGGCGATCATAGCGCTGACGTCACTGACCAGTAGTGTTATCTGTTATACAGTCAATGATCTAACCAACGAGCCTTTTGTTTTTAGAGAATTTCCCTACAGGGAAGTAGTTATTACCGTAGGTGGCACGGTAAGACCTAAGACCTAGGTTCGGGACCGATTTACTTTTTAATTTTGATGTCCCCAGAGGCCAAAAACACCATTCGTTCAAATTTGTATACATGTATATATATATATTCGTCCGTGAACGCGATAACTTAAATAATTTTTGTCCGATTTTGATTAAATTTGGTTTCGTGTGTTAAATGTGTCAGGCAGGATAAACTTATATGAGTTCGCGAACCAGCATGATCGGACAATGGGAACGGGGGTTTATGATAAGCATCTAGGCAGCCAGTGCAACTCCGAGGAACGAGGATCAGATCTGAACCCCCCCCCCCACCACCCCTCCGTGCCGATGGCGTGACGTCAACCATTACCGCAACGATACGGAGCATTGTCATGAGCCTTGGTGGTGTAGTGGATAGCGTGTCGGGCTGATAATCGAAAGGTGCCGGGTTCCAATCCCGTTGATAGCACTAACTTTTTGTCAACATTTTTTTCATATCAGCAAGTTTGGTTGGTTTGGTTAGGTTATAATTTAAAAATTATAAAACTGAATTTGAGACATTTATAATTTTATTTTTAGAACAGAACTATTTGGTTGCACTAACTTTTTGTCAACAATTTTTTCATATCAGCAAGTTTGGTTGGTTTGGTTATGTTATGACAGTTTAATTTTATCATTAAAATTATAAAATTGAATTTGAGACACTTATAATTTTATTTTTAGAACAGAACTATTTTTTCGATTAGTAAACCTTCATTCGAGTTTTTCATTATCAACAAGTTTGGTTAGTTTGGTTAGGTTATGACAGTTTAATTATTTTTAATTGAAATTTAACCTATAAACGATATGTTTTGACAGCGACAGTGATAGAGATAACAATTTTCCGTGAAGAGTTAAACTATGCTGATGTGCCGGCATGATTCGGAACGGAAGCGTAGGACATGGTGCGGTGGTGGGGGGTGATCTGATCCTCGTTCCTAGGAGTTGCACTGGCAGTCTAGAGTGGTTTTATGGGGCAAAACTTTTTTTCTCATTTGTGACCCTCAAAACACAGAACTTCCCAATTTATCCCTAGACCTTTTTAAAGAGTTTAAAAAACAAATAATTTAGTATATCAAAGTGTTTTTTTACGGTTTTTGTTAACGGAGAAAATTAAAAAATTGTAAATTTAAAATTTCCATGTTAATCTTATGGAGAATATTGAAAAATGTCGTAGTTTGCTTGTTTATGGATATATTTTTGATCAAACTTGGCAAATTGTTTTATTTTATGCTAAAGCTATTAATATTTTACCAAAAAACACAATTTATTAGTTTCGATGTAGCAGCAAACCTAGGTACTCGTTAAACCTAATGTTATTTAAATACGTTTGATTCAAGTTATTTAAATACTATTGATGTATATGTGCGTGTATATAAATGCAAACATATAAATTATTTAGAAACATAACACAAAACAAGAAATAGGCCTCACAGGCGGTTGGGTTGACGACGTGACAGCGATTATTTGAACGCCTTCAATGTGAGGGATGCAATAGTTCATACTCTGTTGGACCAAACAAACTCGTATTAGAGTGTTGGACCAAACGATTTTGGGCCAAATGAAATACTCCCCAACCGGAGGATAAAACGATTTTGGACCAAACGAACTGTTTTACAACGTTGGACCAATTATACTCCCTAGTGGACGACTAGCGGCTAGTCTCTGCCCAGCAAATCTGTTCGGGAGCGAAACTTCTACCCTCCAGCTGTTCTGATTGGCTGAGGGAACACCATTACCGCAACGATACGGCATGATGCCATCGGCCCCGGTGGTATAGTGGATAGAGTGCCGGGCTGATAGTCTGAAGGAGCCGGGTTCGAATCTCACCCGAGCCACTATATTTTTGTCTCGAATTTTTTTCATTATCAGCAAGTTTGGTTGGTTTGGTTAGGTTATGACAGTTTAATTTTATAATTAAAACATTATAAAATTAAATTTGAGCCATTTATACTTTTATTTTATGAACAGGAACTATACCTTCATTTAATTTTTCATTATCAGCAAGTCTGGTTAGTTTGGTTAGTTTATGACAGTTTAATTTTATAATTAAAAATTGAATTTGAGGCATTTATAATTTTATTTTATGAACAGAACTATTTGTTCGATTAATAAACCTTCATTGGATTTTTTCATTATCAGCACGTTTGGTTGGTTTGGTTAGGTTATGACAGTTTAATTTCATAAAAAAATTATAAAACTGAATTTGAGGCATTTATAGTTTTATTTTATGAACAAAACTAATTTTTCAATTAGTAAACCTGCATTATAGTTAATCAGAAGCCTCCAAATGACACTGTTGGCAAAACTAATCCTGGAACAAAAATTCAGCTGGAGGGAGGGTAGAAGTTTCGCTTTTGAACAGATTTGGTGGGCAGGGACTAGCCGCTAGTTTCTGGACGTTCTGGTATAAATAAAACCATACAGTCTGTTTTATCTGTGATAAAACATAGTCCCTTAGTAGATTTCCCATCCTTATTATGGAACAGCTAAAGCCAATTTTATTGTTAGTTCCGTCCGGTTTTCTGTAGATGTCGTGTTTTGTTATATTTCAGTAATTTAAAACCTCATTTAACCAAATAAAACTATCTAATCGTAAACAATAACTCGTCCACAACCCATATAATTAAACAGTGAGACGCAAATAATGAGAAACTAAACTAACCCTTAACCCTACAGTGTTAGAAACAAATTGAAAACAAAACACGACATCCGACATCTACAGAAAACCGGACAGAACTAACAATAAAATTGGCTTCAGCTGTTCCATAGGATGGGAAGTCTACTGTTCTGGTCTGTCTGCTCCGGTCTGCTCCTGCTGCTCTGCTCTGCTCAGTAGCAGCTCTCGCTCTGCCTGCAGTCTGCTCTCGCTCTCTGCAGGCTGGGCTGGTTCATTGGCAACCTTATCAGCTGTCATTGGTTTGGTTTTGGTTCGGCTCGGTTCATTGTCATTCGTTTAAAAAAATAACCTTCAAAAAGTCAAAATCTCACTGGTACGCCTTTTATGGTATTATTTTGTTGTTTTTTTTATTTGTTTACCGTAGGCTATTTGTTGATTGTTTTAGCTGGTGTGAATTAAGATTCTTGTACTTGATGTCAAAGATAACTTAAGTCGTTAATAGAATGAAGAGTGAAATAGACCGATAAGTTACCGGTGCAATTTTTGCGAAACGTAGGTTTGTCTCGTTCACACATCAATTTAAATAAATAAAGTTAGCTTTGACAGCTTACGTTTTTATTTTAATTAAGACATAAGACATAAGACATTTATTGATCTTTAGGCAAAATTACATGCAATCGATCTTGTCATGGATGCTTGAAATGCACAAAACAGTCATAAGTACAATAGTAAAACATGCTGACTAAAGCAAACATAAAAATAAGTGTTCATTCTACAAAATTTAAATAAGATTGGCTATTTTGAAAAAAAAACAAACTAAAAACATCATGCAAAATTGATGGAGCCAAAGTCTGCTTCAAAATATTCTTTAAGGCTGTAGAAGGGCCTTACTAACAACCATGCATATATCACATTCTTAAAACTACCTAAGCTAACATGCTGAGCTGAAAAAGGCAAGCAATTGAAAAGGTCAATACCTGTAGCTTCGAAGGACGTGAGAACCTTGGTCAGTCTTGTGTAGGGTCTGCAGATTTTGTTTTGACCTCGTGTACTATGGTTGTGTACGTGCCTGTGGAGAATGAGAGTGTTTAGGTGCTTTTTGGTATGTAAGAGACATGCAAAAATGTACAAGTTGATTACAGTTTGAATTTTTTCCTGTGAAAAAATAGGTTTGCAGTGTGTATTTGTGTCAGAGTTAGTGATGATTCTCAACATCTTCTTCTGGGCTACTAACACACTATTTATGGAGCTAGAATTTCCCCAAAACATCAAACCATAGACAATTCTACTTTGAAAAAGAGAGAAATAAACCATTCTTAAGCAATCAGGGGATATGCAGACTTTTAACTTTCTAACTAAACATATTATTCGGTGTAACGATTTACATAGGTGTTTGACATGCTCATGCCATGTTAGTTTCGAATCTATGTGCATACCCAGGAGCTTAACACACTGAGAGAATTCATTTTCTAAATTACCAGCACTGGTCAAAGTAAAAACAGCAGTTTGAGTTTTTTCCCTATTCATTAACAACATATTGGCTTTGTACCACTCATTTGCCTGATTAAGAATATTATTAGCAGCCACTGGGATTTCAGTAAGTACTAAATTTTTTGTTAGAAAGGTTACATCATCAGCAAATAAGATGGATTTACATTCAACATTTGAGGTAAGATCGTTTATGGCTATTAGGAACAGTAGAGGGCCCAGTACCGATCCCTGTGGTACCCCGTACTTAACCTCAGTTACATTAGAAAATGAGTTGTTTGACAAAACTTTTTGGAGCCGATCACTGAGGTATGATTTCAACAAAGAATTTTGATTGCCAATGATTCCATAAAATTCCAATTTGTGCAAAAGAATATTACGATCGACACAGTCAAAGGCTTTTGACAAATCACAGAGGACTGCGCCTGTGGGATTTCCGCTTTCAAAGCCAGCAAGTACGTGACTTATGAACACTTCGACTGCATCGATCGTAGATCTACCAGGCCTGAAACCATACTGACAGTCAGTAAAAAGGTTATGATGTTCAAAAAAGTTACTTATTTGATTTTTTATTACAGTTTCAAAGACTTTTGAAATAACAGGGACCAGAGAAATCGGCCGGTACCCTCCTGGATCACTCCTGCTACCTTTTTTGTACACAGGCACAACTTTAGATATTTTCAGTTTGGATGGGAAAATCCCCTCATTTAGACTGGTATTAATACATAAAGCTAAAGGTACAGCTACTGATTCCATTAAGGCTTTTAAAAGGACTGATGATATGTCATATACATCACAGCTTCTAGATGACTTCATATCTTTGATAATCTTTAGAACACTCTGGCCACTCACTGGAGTCCACTGTAGGTTGACAGGAGGTTTCTTCAGATGGTCAGTTAGCAGTTCACCAGCGGTCACGTCTGTGGGTTCGATGCTCTCTCGAGTCTCCGTCACAACCCTCTGGAAGAAGTCACTGAAAGTCTCTGCAGATGGCTGGGGATGGACAAAAGCTGAATAGGTCCCACTCTCTTCCTTGACTACTTGCCAGGCTGCTTGGCACTTATTTTTTGCAGCATTAATGAAGTTGGTGTTGTGATCCTTCTTAGCTTTAAGTACCATGGACTTGTATTCCTTGCTTACTAATTTGTATTGATTTTTGATAGCTTCCTCACCAGTAGAACGGGCACAGTCGAGTAAGAGCAAAAGGTAGTTCCTCATACGTGCAAGTTGTGGAGTAAACCACTTCTTTTGCTTTGATTTCCTGCTGAGCGAAGATCTAGTCTTCAATGGTACAAATAGGTTTAACCAGTACATAAATATATTGTGAAATTTGTTATACCTGTCCTCTGCGTTCAGACCGTGGAGTTCAGCATACCAATCAATGTTCTCGAGGCATTGCTTGAGATCATAAAGCTTCAGGTCATCGAATGGCCTATAGGTTAGAATGGCGTTCGAGGGAGGCTCCTCATTTTCACACAGAGTTGCATTTAGGTTAGGCCTATTAATTTTGACACTTAGAAAACAGTGATCGGATATTGGCCAGTCATGCACATCAACCGAGTAGTTAAAAGGTTTAATATTAGTCAGTATATAGTCTATGCATGCATTTGCCCTTGTAGGTCTGTAGTTGGTGCAATAGATATCCGCCGATCGGAGAATATCATGAAGCCTGAGCGTGTTAGGCTGTTGTCCAGATGCTTCGATGTTCAGGTCACCGCATATTACTATATCTTGATCATATTTTGTCAAAAAGTCCAGTAATAAGTCCAGTTTTTGAAAAAATACAGTGTCACTACTGCCACTGGGTTTGTAGAGTGAAACAATAATAGTGTTCCATGTCTTAAGCCTAATGGCACAGGCTTCAAAATTTCTCTCTACACAGAACTTACTAATGTCAATCTTCTTAACACATTCACTGCTAATGATATGTAATACTTTTATAAATGGCTAAAAAACATAAACATTAACATGATCATGTTAATTGAGTGACAATATATCTTTAATTAAATAAATTTTATACTATAAATTGTGGATTAAAATATATTATGTAATTATATACATCATGTATTATATATCTGCTAATATACTTATGACGCACAAGTGTGTCATTAGCAGTGAACGTGTTAAACTCCGTATCTGGAAGAACATATATCGCTGCTCCTCCATGTCCAAAACACGAGCGAACGTATATTGACGCCAACTGATAGCCTGAGATATTATAGAGTAAATAGTTATCTGCGGCTAACCAATGTTCAACTATACACAAGATGGTATACAATATAGGAAGAGCCACCATTTCGATGTCTATAAGCTTGTTGGTAATACACTGCACATTACCGTACAATATTCCGAGCGTTGGTTTATTATTTTGTACACAAGTTGCTTGCGTCGATTCCGAGGAAACGTTACTTAGGCTTGTCGTTGGCTTCCTAAAAAAACCTTAGATCTCACAAAACGGCTTGATTTCTTTTGAATGAATTTTTTAATAAGTGTTCCTTCCGGCCAAAACTCAGCGCACAATACTTTGTCAAATTGTAAGGGTTCCACTCCTATTTTGAATGACCTATAGCTATTGTAACGAGTCGAGATCTCCTCACAGCATGCACTTTCTATTCCGTTATCAGCCAAGTAGTCATTAACTAAAGAATTATTTACAGAAACGTCTAGTCTAGAAATAAAGATCCAGGATTTATTAACTGCTTTGTTTTTGGCAACAGTCTTCAGATTTCCAATAGCACCAGATTTTGTTCCTATGATTGGGACTTCAGTCTTCTTAATAGGCCTATTACTTACAAGTTGACTACTATCCTTAGACCTATGCCCACTCTCAGTTGAAGGGTTGATTTGAGAATTAGGTTGTTTATATCTATTAGAAGAAGGTAATTTCAAAACATCAGAGAATAGTTTACCTGATTTTGTTTGTTGGTTCGATCCATGAACTTCTGAGTTTACAGCAGGACTAGTAGTGGCTTCTATTTCTAAACCAAGAGAGGTTATGTTATTGACAGATGCAGATACGTTACTATGTTGTTGACTGTTTGTAGAGTCTGAGCATAGAGTCAAGCTTAGGCCTATGTCTGGTTGATTACTCGATGTTGATCCGTCAATTTGATGATCCTCCACCGGTTCGACTTCGGTTGGTTCGATTTGCAGACAGCTAACCTGTTGTCCTAACCTAGCATTTTCGTCAATCAGTCTATCAACTTTTTCATTTAGTTTTTTGTTATCACTAAGTATATTGTTAACTTTTCCCACCAGTAAGTTGATTGTTTTACTGATATTGGTTAGATCTGTAGCTTGGCAGTCCGAATCAAATATACAGTATACCTTTTCCAAACACGCAGCACAGAACCAATGTACAGACGACGATAGTTTATTGATTTGCGTATACTCCTTTGAGCTAATATTTACACAGTTTATATGAAACCACTTTTTACAGAAAGCTTCACACTGTAAACCTTTGTCAGTTTCTTGTTTAGTTTAGTTTATTGTTATTGTTGTTAATTTAGTTTATTGTTTTCAGCATTAAGACTTCAGTATCCGAAACTTATTTTGCACTGTGAGAATGGCTTGGCTAGTAGAGCTGGTACAAAATATACCACAAATCCATTTCGGTTTCTTCAGGCATATTTTAGTCATCGGGCAGACTACAGCACAGCAGTATCAAGTACACAGGTGAGGTAAACCAGGTTTGCATAGGAAAGAACAAGGCTGCACTTTACTTTAGGTCCTACACTCATTCAAATGAAAATATCGGATCGATATATAGATTATTCGATATATTGTTTGGTTATAGGTAAGGTTAACCTATATAATTAATAATTATATAGGTTAATAATCTATATATCGATCGAAATTTTCATTTGAATGAGTGTAGGACCTAAAGTAAAGGGCAGCCTAACTCAATCGGCTTGACGGATTTTAACATTTGAGGTGTCAAATACGTCTCAGAATATTTGGAAAGTGCGTCACTTAAGTATAGCCTAGTTAAGGGCTAAAGTTTGGGAACGGCGGTGCTATCTGTTGACATTAGATCAAACTCAATTCACTTTGTTTACAACTAAACTTATGGACATAGATTGATATAGTTTTTAAGTTTAGGCTAAAGTTAGACTGCAGGACTTATTTCTTCCAGAACAAAGCCGGGATTTATATTTTTTTGACATCTGTTAACTGTCTGGTTCATAAATAAAGAGCTTCCAACAAGACTTCACAACACATTGTTAGTACTGTAATAGTTGAATTTATTTAGCCTTACATCATATTTTACCGATTACGGTTCGGTGTGATGAAGATAATGTTAAAAAGTGATTGTTCCACAGTGCAGCTACCCGTTATATTACCATATTATCATGTAATTTACAATGTGTATCAAAATTCCTTTGTAGTGCTTTCCATTGTTTGGTTAACTTTCGTATTTTATCTAAATTTAAAATTAAATACCACCAGTAAGAAGCAGAACTGTGAGTGTCTGGAGGGAACGTGAACGTAGCCGCTTGCATCACCCTCCCAATGAAACATTTGACGGATACAGAGTGGCAGTACTGCCGTGGTGATACATCCCACCTTGGACAATAAACCTTAAAAATTAAAATTGGGGTAGATTACATTTTAAGCAAGAAAAGACTAGCCGAGACAGTCAAATTTTTGCTACCTGTATATAGATGTCACAGCTATTTTTAAAGCTGCAAACAGAGCACCTCCGAAATAAATACATAAAATCTTATAGTTTTTTTTTTTTTTTTTTTTACTAATACCTAACGCGTATCCGTTCAAGATGCGTCATTATATCCACTTGCTTACCCTCTTATGATCCCAATCGGAGACATTGTTAGGGGCCTCTGATTTAAGCACGCCTATTTTTTTTTTCTCTCATGGGGCTGGGGTATTCTTACCCCTTGCTACCTCGACCTACAAGATCTTTTGTAGCACCCTTTTTTGTTTAGTCACCTAACCGAAGTTTTCTTGCGAAGCCAATCAGTTGGTGCACACCCATTTCTCTTATTTCAGTAGGCATTGGGAATGCCTTTCCTAGGTGTTTCAACCTTTTATGGGCTAACGCCGGACATTCCAGCCATATGTGCTCAGCTGATTCTGTTTCGTTGAGACAGAATCTGCACTGGTCTGTCTGTCTAAGTCCTATTGTCTTAAGGTACTTCCTTACATAGCCATGCCCTGTAAGTAGACCTATCAGGAGGCTTATTTCTTCTTTTTGGAGGTCGAAGATTTTTCTCCATTCCTTACTAAGAGGATTGATTAGCATCTTTGATTGTCTCAGGCCTGGGGTATTTTCCCAATCCTTTTCTTGTTGTCCCTTTGCCCAGGTTAAGATTTTTGATCGGCACTTGCTCACTGGGACTCCGCAGTATGGTTCAGGCCCAATGAGTTCGGATTTTGCCCCCTCGCCCGCCAGGACGTCAGCCCTTTCGTTGCCTTCGTGCCCAGCGTGACCTGGGATCCATGCAAGTTGGATTCTGTTGTGTTCGCTCAGGGCCTTGAGGGTGTTCCTGCAGCTCTGCACAACTTTAGATTCCACCACGCAGGCGTCAATTGCTTTGAGAGCAGCTTGGCTGTCTGAGAGGATAAGCACCCCTCTCCTCTTCAGGCCTTTGTCCGACTGCAGTCTCGCACAATGCTCTATTGCCATGACTTCCGCCTGGAAGACAGTCGGCGTTTCACCGAGGGCCTTTGAGAGGTAGGTTCCAATACCATACACTCCTAGTCCCGACCTGCCCTCCCTCCGCGATCCGTCTGTGTAAAACACCATCGCCGACTTTCCTGCTTTATCCCTTACCTTCTGCCATTCTCCTCTGTCTCCAATGGCCACTTGGTAGGGTTTATCAAAGTTGTACTTCCTAATCATAAGATCTGAGACCGTCATTTCCATATCTAAACTTGGGAGTTCCCTTAGGATTGACATGTGACCCGTCCTTCTCAAAGAAGATATTTCTCCTTTACTACAAGTCTTAAGGGCTGTTAATGCTGCCCTTTTCTTTATATCCAGCCCGAGTGGGAGTGCGCCTAAAATTGACTCCATCACCACTGTCGGGCATGATCTTGTTGTGCCACATACCCCTGTGCAAGCAAGTCTTTGCAGTTGTTGCAGCTTTGCAGCTGCCCCAGTTTGCTCTGCCTTCTGCCACCACACCAGGGGCCCTATTTTTGAAATGGTTGACTGTTGAGTTGAGTGTCGAGTCATTCTATTTCCAATCGTTTCGTATTTTTGAAACGATTGACGGTGGACTTATACAACCAAAACTACTCAACACCTATCGAGCTGTTGAGTGGAGGTTGACTGCACTTTCTTCTTCCTCTCTTTCGGCAAAAAATTACTCTTTTTGAGTCGACGCCATATTGTTTTGTTATTGCTTTAATTTACTAATTGCGATTTAGAGGTTATGTATTTGTTGTCAATGTCTTAGCACCCAATACTTTATGCGATTGTTAATTTTATTTACTGTGTCATTACTGGACTATTTAATCTATTTACTTTGTTATAAGACTATTTAATTTGTTTGAAATACACTAGGCATACTAATTGAACTTATTAAAAGATAATAATTGTTATTAGACCTATGATTTAAGGTATTAAAGATTGTGGTAGAGAGAAACAATATCATAGTTTGTTTCAATACCATTCACCTAATAAAGGGATCAAATTAATTTAAGTTACGATAAGCTTTCAGTGCAATGGCAAATAGCCATAAGCTTTAACCTAAATAAAAACACAATTAAAAATAACATGAAACAAAACGATGAAGAAAACTAAAATAAGGTGATATGTTCTGAAATAGATACGAAGAAAGCAAATAATAATGTATTTAGGATATGCCTAAACTTAATGAGCTACACAATAAAACAAACAAACATCCATAGTAAATTTTATTGTTAATACTTATAAGTTTATATAAGGTACTTTTGCAATCACTAAGATTAAGCAAGACATAACCTCAATCTCTCAAGAACGGAGTTGACAGTTTACCTCAGTATCTCGAAATATGGTAGATTGATTGAGATTAGCTGATCCAGATTTTAGAGCAAGAAGAGGTAAAATCGAAGATCACAAAAACTCTGCATTGTGATTGGTTTAAAATGACGTCATCTGAATTTCGGGCGGTCGTATGCTCTACATTTCCAAAACGAGTCACTCAACTAGTGATTTCACACTCACTTCCAAACTGTTGGATTTCAAAAATACCAAATCCTGATGTTGGTTGAGTTGAGTGTTGACTGTAGAGTCAACTGTCAACCATTTCAAAAATAGGGCCCCAGGGCTGCGTATTCCACCATAGGTTTGACTATAGTTTCGTATATCCACCAGATCAGTCTAGGGTTGAGACCCCATTTTTTGCCAAATGTTCTTCTACAGGCGCCCATGGCTCCTGTTCCCTTGGCGATGGCATGATCTATGTGCCTGTTCCAAGTTAACTTCTGATTTAAGTATACACCCAGATATTTAGTCTCCTTGACTGACTTGACCCTCATTCCCCTAATTTGGGGAGATTTTGGTCCTCCTTTTTCTCGTGAAGGTCACTATTTCAGTTTTTTTGGGGTTGATTGTCAAACCCTTTGTGTTACACCAATTGTCGATGTAGTCTACCGCCCGCTGGGTAAGGTCCTCAATGGTACCTTTGTGTTTCCCTCTCACGGTCAGCACTAGATCATCTGCAAATGCCTGTAGGTCAATGCCTGTTTGTTCAGCTTCTCTCAGCAGGCCATCAACCACAAGTGTCCATAGCAGGGGAGATAAAACTCCTCCTTGCGGACACCCTCTTCTGGCCTCGACTATAACCGACGAGTCTCCAACCGTGGCTGTTATTTCTCTGCTTTGGAGCAGAGCCATTATCCAGCACACTATTTCTTGAGGAATTTCTCTGTCTGTCAGTGCTTCCTCTATTGACTGATAGGACACATTATCAAAGGCTCCTTGGATGTCCATGAAGACTCCTGCTAGGATTTCCTTGTGATCTAATTTGTCTTCTATTCTCACTACCAGGCTATGAAGCGCTGTTGTAGTCGATTTGCCCATCATAAAGGCATGTTGGTTCACATTCAGGCTTGAGTGCTTAAGCACGCCTAACAGAACATATTGTAAAATAATTTTACAATCTTAGAGTACTTGTCTCGTACTGGTTGGCGGCGAGAGAGGGATTTAGCTTGCTTCCATAGGTCTGAAAAAACTCACTTTACAGGGTGTGGTTGACATCTATGTGATCATAGAAGGCACCCGTGTATACAGTATATAAGAGATAACCAAAGCAGTATGAGAGCGGATCTATATTTAAATATTGTAGATTACTTTTACAACTTTTTACAACATGTTATCTTTCTATTATCAGTCATATAAGTTACTTAAGAATGACTCTTTGATTGAGGTCTTGCTGTTTATGTTTTTGTAATTAATTCTTTTACTACCAGTTACAGTCTTGCTCAATTTCGAGCATTGGGTTATCTAATTACTCTGATTTTACATGGTAACATTTTATTATAGTTTAATGACTGGGACGGGTGGCGTCGTCCTGTAATCCAGCTACTTGGAGGTCACGAATTGTGGATATTTAAAGGCATGCACTGTAGATGCGATACTCCCTGGTGTGGATTAACGTCCGCACGGGTGAGTACTACGACTATCGCGCAGTACTATCTTGATAATTAGACCAATTCGTATATACCAA